TTTTTTTTTTTTTTTTTTTGGTTTTGGTTTTTTTTTTTTTTTTTTTTTTTTTTTTTTTTTTTTTTTTGTGTGTTGTTTTGATTTTATTTACGGGTACGACTTTGTCGCATTTGAATTTTTCTTTCTTTTTTTTTTTTTTGGGAGGGGGAGAGAGATATTTTCGAGAAAGGGTAAATAAAATGACATAATAATAATAAGTTTTTGATTTGAATGACTTGGATGTTCATTTTTTTTTTTAAATTTTTCCGATGCGAGTTTTTTTTTTTTTTTTTTTGTTTTTGCGTCAACTCATTGTTTTTCCCACGATTGATGATGACGTAAAAAATGTGGGGGGAAAATGGGGGGTGAAATGGAGAAGGTTGTTTGAAAAGTACGGGATTCGGAATGAAAACGATCGAGATTTAAACGTGTTTTCTATTTTTTTTTTTTTTTTTTACTATCCACCTCCATCTTCTCCCCCCTCCCCGAAATAAGTTAAAATCGTTTTGATGTTAAATTTTCGCCGCGTTAAAATAAATTTTATGAAAAAAAATTAAAAAAAAGCGAAACTAAATATAAAATCGTAAAAAAAAAAATTCCCAGGAAAATGCAAGAAAAATTGTAGGAGTAAGAAAGAAAGAAAGAAACAATAGGAGCAAAAAAAAAATATATAAATATAGCTAATACATGTAAAAATTAAAAATGTTGCCAACAAACGAAAAAAAAAAAAAAAAAGTTTTTTTTTTTTTCGTTTTTATTATTCAGTCAATCGTAAAAACCTTTGGAAAGTGAAAAATGTATTTAATTTTAATTTGGCAAGCTTTTACAGGAGACGAACAAAGGAAAACAAAAAAAAAAAATCAATATTTTAACGGTCGCGGGCGCGGTTGTTGCGGTCGGGGGGGAGGTAGGGGATAGGGGTAGGAGTAGCGGAGTGAGCGACGGTGACGGCAACGGGGAAAAATAAATTTTATTATCATTATCATTATTTCCACCCACAACGCGCGCGTTGTTTGTGTTTGCGTATTTACGTATAATTATAAAACTAATACACCGCCTCCGCGTAAAGTTAATAATTTAAAATTTAAAAAAAATTTTTTTTTTTTTATTTTCGTTTCCTTACGCGCACAACCGCCGCGCGAGAATTGAAAACAATAAAAATTCATTATTACCATCATCATTATCATTATCATTATTATTATTATTTAAACTTCAAAGGGATTCCATATGTGTGTGTGTGTGTAAGTTAGGAGTCGAAATCGTGCCTTTGAGGAATCAAGTTTTTTTTTAAACTCAATTATTAAATATTAACGGTTATTTTCATCATTTGTTCTGGTTAATTAAACTAAAGGGACTCCGTTTCGAACAGAGCGTAGAAAAGAGGAGAGTAATAATAATAATAATAATACTAATAATAACGATGATGATGATGATGATAATAAATATCCGTGCCATTCAATTACGGTGCGAATTTTATTACCTGTCAAAAAAAAAAAATTCATTTTTATAGTTAACGGAAAACTTTAGATATATATATACGGGAATGCGTTTGCGCATTATATACCTTTAATTTTTTTTATAATAATTTATTAACGTTGATGAAAAAACGCGCGTTTTTTTTTTTTTTTCAAATTACGATCGCCGCGTTGCTCTTATTTTTTTCCTTTTTTGCTGTCGTTGCGACGCGCGCGAGAAATTAAAAATTTTAATTTTTGTTATTGTTCAATTAGATTTTTTTTTTAAATGCGAAAAAGTAAGGATGATGATGATGATGATACGCGCGTACGTACGCGTGCGTTCGGGTAGACAGTAAAACAGAAAAAAAAATTTTTTTTATTACGAAATTTAAATGAAGATTCCTCGTGCCAATGATATTGATGATAATTCGATCTCGATTGATTTTATTTTAAATACCGATAATGATGATAATAATAATGGGTTTTTTTTTCGAACGATTTTATTTTTATAATGTTGTGTAAGGTCATGGATTTCATACTGAATAATAATAATAATAACAAATAAATCGATTTGTTATAAATCAATTGAAGTTCAATAAACTTGTTGTTGTTGTTGTTACTCCGTTGTTGTTGTCAGGTTTTAATAACGGAAATCAATTTTCCTTTTTTTTTTTTTTTAATAAATATTATTACGTTATCCTTTGGAAATTTTACTGGAAACAAATCGAATTCTATACTTCGCGTATGTGTGCGTGCGTGCGTGTGTTATTTACAAAAGTAATATAAATATAGTAGGCGTTTTAAAGCAATTAATTTTTTATTTTTTTATTTTTTTTCATTTAAAACTTTGAAGTTTTTGATATAAGCGCTAAAATTACTTTCTTGTAATTATTATTATTATTATTTTTTTTTTTTTTTTTTATTACTCAAATTCACGCGGTAATAATTTTTTTTTTTTTTTTCAACTCGCATGCGTGAAATTACTCGTATGGTTGCGTATAGATTTATCATCGTAGATTATCGTTTTTATTCTATTATTTTCTCTCTCTCTCTCTCTCTTTCTCTCTCCTTTTTTTTCAAATAAAATTTTCGATAATTTTAAATCGTTAAAATTATTTGTTTAATTGAAAAAAAAAAGAAAAATTGTGCGTGAGAGTGAGTGCGTAAGAAATTTTTCGATGGAAAAAGAAAAAACGTAGCGTCACGCATGATTTTTTTTTTTTTAATTAATTAAAAAAACTTTCGCATCGTAAATTGATAGATTCACGTACGTGCGACAGACAGACAGACAGGCAAGCAGGCAAACAAACAAACAAACAAACAAACAAACAAACAGACAGACAGATCATACCTCGTAATACTACTTTTTTACTTCTTTCAGGTTCGTAAATAAATCGAAAGGTTCATAATTTTTTTTTTTTTTTTTTTTTGAAATTTTTTTCTGGTTGCACAAAAATGAATGAAAATTGTCGTTGTCGTCGTCGACATTAATAATGTTGGTACGCGTGAATGCAACCTTTAAAAAACTTTAGTCGTAATGTTTGCTTAATTTTATTACCCCCACCCCCCATCCCGAGGCATTTAATAATAAAATAAAACAACTTTTCAATTTCATTTTAATTTTTTTTCTTTTCCCTTCCAGAAATTTTACAATTGCAAAAAAAAAAAAACTAAAAACAATTTAGTTTTACCTTTAAAAATAAAAATAAAAATAATAATAATAATAATAATAATAATAATAAAAATATTAATTTAAATATATTGCAGGTGAATAGTAGTTGTTGTTGTTGTTGTTGTTATTTAGGTAGCGAACATTGGCACTTATTTGTTAATTATTATTATTATCATTATATCACCAACGTTAGTTTTTTTTTTTTTTTTCGTCTCGTTGAAAAGCGTAAGTAAATGATTAATTAGGTCAGCAACTTATTAAACCGATAATCAAATCAAAATAAATTAATTATAAACGCGTATAAAAATAAGGTTTTGGAAAAGTTTTATAAATTTGCCTTGTTTTTTTTTTTTTTTTTCCACTGCGAGAGAGAGAGAGAGAGGTATAGAGAAGTGAAAAGCGTTAAAAAAAGAAGAAAAAAAGGTTTTCGCAAAGGTTGATTGTTGCGTTGTTGTTGTCGTTGTTAAAAGGTTGTTGACATTTAAATAGGTACATGCCCCGTTTGTTATTACCGGGGCACGACACTTCCCAGAAACTATTTATTTATTTTTTTATTTATTTATTTGTGTTGTTAGGCTGGGTCGGTTGAATTGAAGAAAACGATTTGTTAACGATCGCGCGAGATTTTCTTCGTTTTTTTTTTTTTTTTTAGGGTGCGTCTCCGGTAATTGTATTTCTTTTACAATTGTTTTAAACGAAGCGACGACGACGACATGTTTTTTACTTCCATAACTGTTGCATACACGTATTAGTTTGTACTGAAAGGTAGGAAGACGGATGTTAGATGAAATATATATATTTTACCGACGAATAAAACGTTTTAAAAATATAATTTACGATTCGAGTTATAATTTTTATTTTATTTTATTTTATTGGTCGCACGTTCAAGATAATTATAAAGGTTTTAATGTTGTGTAAATAATAATAATAATGATAATAATTTTTTTTTGCATTTCAGATTAAAGGTAAAATTAAGAAGTAGTGATATAAGAGGTGAAAAATTAAAAAATCTGGTCTTGCGAGAAATGAGAAAAAGTGATAAATACCAAGCGCGGAAGGCCGCCTGTACCGGCGCGAACGTCGAGCAAGGCCAATGCTCTCTGCGCTCATGCGCCACACCTTGCTGATGGCCATGGATGCTCAGCTGGAGGCCACAGCAACAGTACATAAAGTGAGTAATAATAATCATCCGTACGTGCCAAATAATAATCATAAACATGGAAAGCGAAAGCGTAAGCGTCTCAGTCAAGTTTTAGACAAACTGGCGACGCAAGTGACGACGTCGGGTTCGCCATTTAATAATAACGTTCATCATCATAATAATAACGAGCCAGAGGGTTCATCGAAAAAGTGTAGCGTTCGTCCGAGAGACATTCTTTTCGATAAAAAGCTAATGCTCCGCGATATGCCGCCGGGAGAAGTTTTCCGTTTTGACAGTGCCGATCGCGAACGTTATCAGTCGGAGGAGGAAGAGATCGAAGATGTTTTTAGTCCGGCATCTTCTTCTAAATCCCCTCACAGTTCTCCGACGGACTCTCCAAAGATTAGTTTTAGTCCGCTGCGACTCAAAGAAGAGGAAATAGACTCGAAGACACCGCCCCCTCCGAGAATACCGGTTAAATGGGAGCAAGAAGTGTCACCTTTATCCCAACATTTTTCTCCGCAGCCAAAATTTTCAGGATGTTCGTGTCCTCACTGTTCGTCGGGATTTGGTTTTCACGCTTTCCCGCACGATCATTACTATCCTTCCTCGCCTATCTCTCCTTTGACGCCCGTATCCCCCATTCCACCTCCCGCTTATAGTTTCGAACATTATCTTCATTCGAAATACTTACCGGATTTGTTCCGTCGAAGAAGTCATTCCGATTCGGATGTGCCTTTATGGTTCGAAGCTGCCAAGACTGAAAGAATTGATTCTCACACGGAAAGGGGAACCGTTTTGAGACAGTTAGGTCGCGTTGTTCCTCACCCGTTGTCAATTCATAGATCAACGACTCCTCAAAGCAAAGGAGGCTCTTTAGAATCCGATAATTCCACTCCGCAAGACTCTCCGTTGGATCTTTCCGTGAAAGGGAGCAAAGACAGAATGGAGGGAAAATGCGGATTGGATTTAAGTATTCCGGTGATACCAAAGGATATTGTCTCAAATTCGTATTCGACAAAGGATAATTCGCGCCCTAAAGATTTTTCCCCGTCTCCTAAAGATTCATTTCAATCCCCTGTAACATATCCCGAACCCCCCGTGCACCTTCAACTCGTTCCGCACGGTTTTCTTCCGCCTAAAGGATCGGTTTCCGTGCCGGTTGTCAAAGGAGACGTGGCATCTCCGACGACGAAAGAATCCGTCGCAGTTAGGTACAATTTAGACGTGTATCCCGTCGTGGAAGAAATGCCTCCCGGAGCCGACGTGGCGTACGTGTGTCCGGTCTGCGGTCAAATGTTCAGCCTTCACGATCGCTTGGCCAAGCACATGGCTTCCCGACACAAGAGCAGGCAAAATTCGAACGACTCCACCGCGAAAGCTTATTTATGTGAAGTTTGTAAACGGTCGTTCGCTCGGAGTGATATGTTGACTCGACACATGAGATTGCACACGGGAGTTAAACCTTACACGTGTCGCGTTTGCGGTCAAGTGTTTTCGCGTAGCGATCATTTGTCGACCCATCAAAGAACGCACACGGGAGAAAAACCTTACAAATGTCCTCAATGTCCGTATGCCGCGTGCAGGAGAGACATGATAACGCGACACATGAGAACTCATGCCAGATACGAACCAGTGACACCGGTGACAGCAGAACCCAACGATGAAAGATCTTCTAAAGGTTTTTCGCCAAAGACAGAATCTCAAACGTCTTCTTCATTCCAGGGTCACAATGCGAGAGAATCCTCACAGCAAATTTCCCTTCAATCCATCAAGATGGAAGATTAATTGTACACATAGTAAATAACGTAATATAGATCACGTGATTTCAAAAAAAAATAATAATAATACGATACGGTTGTGATATATGTAATTCGTAACCAAAAAAAAAAAAAAAAATTATTACTCTCTCTCATTTTTTATTGGAAAAAAAAGAGAGAAAGAAAATTACTCATTATTACTCCATGACTACTGCTCAACATTATTATTATTAACAACCACGAAATGAAATTTTATTTTATTAATATATATATTGCCCGTTTGTATGTTTGTTTGTTTGTTTGTTTGATTGTTTTGTTTGTTGGAATAATGAATGTACAGTCGATCGCGTCGAGACCGCAGGTCGGTGTAATAATATACTAAAAAAATATTTATATTTACTAACATTCTGTTAAATTTTTATCGATAATGTTTCCCCCCCTGTTTTTGAGCAAAAAAAAATAAAATGTCGTGGCAGAATAATTTTCAAAAAAAAAAAAAGCTAATTATTTTTTTTTCGCGATTCGATATTCACTATTCGAACACACACTTATTCGATTCGACAAACGTTCATCACGTGGAAGGAGTGTTTGTTGTTGTTGTTGTTGTTGTTGTTGTTCCCATACGTTAAAAAAAAATCAATAATGAAAACATCAATCAATCATTTGTTTTTTCCATTTAAAAAAAAAATGAATGAATGAATGAATGAATGATAAAAAAAAGAAAATTGATTCTTCTCCCACTGTACGAACGTGTCGTCGTCGTTTTATTTTTTTTCATTTTCTTTCTTATTAATTTTTTTTTTTATTTTTAAAAAAAGGCGGTGACATCGATTATTTTCAGATAAGGTAAATTATTCGCAATCGTTTCTACGTTCCCACGCGTTGTTCTGACGTCATTTTTTCTCATTTTTCTAACCCGAATTTTCTCTCTCTCTCTCTCTCTCCTGTCTCTCTCTTACGGTCTCCCACTAAAAATATTTTTATTTTTTCGATTCGGTCGTAAAATAATTGAAACGGGAAAAGAAAATTGTTTTGTCGTCGTCTTCGTTGTTGTCGTTTGTATAATAACGGTTATTCATTTAATTACATTTTTGTCCACCAGGTGTCGGAAAGTTTGGTTTTTCGCGCGCTTATGAGTTTTGGCGGGAAAATTTTAAAAAGGGTCAAAAGAAATTATTATTAGCGATTAATAAAAATCCTAAAATTATTATTATCGTTAATATTACTCCATTATTGTGTTATTATTATTATTTTTACACTAATTTAAACCGTAATATTAAAATATTAGGTATTAAAATAATAATTTTTCTCGGAAATTATTATTATTATTATTATTTTAAATACGAAAAATTAATTTTCACGCCGGAAATTGCTTAAAACGAAAATACCTGAAAATTCTATTGAAAAAGAATGCGGTGGGGGGAAAGGGAGACACGAGATTCCTTCTGCTCTTTTTTTTAATTACGTAATAATAATAATAATAATTTTTTTTTTTTTATCGGATGCCGGAGCCGAGAGAAAGCAACAAACAACAACAACAACAAACAAAAAAAATTTCGCATGTCGTCGCATCATCTCTCATTGTTAAAAAAAATAAAATTTCTTTCGTGTTATTTAAAAAAAAAAAAAATTTGTTTGTTTCGTTTGTTTGTTTGTTTTATTTTTCACTGTTGTGATGTCATCATCGATCAAGGTTGTCAAATAATTTGTAGGTTATCAACTTAATTTAAATTACAGAAATTTCTCGGTTATTCTCTTAAGTCCACGCCTACTGGTGACACTTTTTTTTTTTTTTTTTATGTCACGTAACCTTGCGTTCCTTTTGTCGTCGACATTATTATTATTATCATTTTGTTTCGTATTTTTGTTAAATTAACAAAAAAAAAAAAATATAGGAAAATTTTTTTTATTATCGATCGCCATTTTTTTTCGTGAGTCAAAAGGAAATGAAAAAAAAAAAAAAAAATTGTTACTAATCGTACCTGTTTTTTTTTTTATATTTTGTATAAGAGTAATAAATGTGCAAAAAAAAAAAGTTTTTAATTAACATTCCTGGAACGAACAGGTATAAAAAAAAAATTTTAAAAGGTTTCTTTTTTAAAAAAAAAATACCTGAACGGGATTACGTTGCGTAGGTGTTAAATTTAAATAATTTTTAACGATTTGTATTATTAATAATGATGATGATAATGATAATGATAATAATAACAATGAAAAAAATTTAACCGGAAACGACGTACCTGTACGTAGTACCCGGGGGTTACCTACCGTCACGTTTTATTATTGGGCATTAAATTCTTTGGGCATTTTGTTTTTTTTTTTCGTTTTTATCGCTGTCGTTAACGAGTGACAACGATTTTATGTTGTTATTATTATTATTATTATTATTATCATTACTATTATTATTATTATTATCGTTTGATTTTATTTTAAATGCTGTCGTTTTATTAATTATTTAATTGTAATTTTTTTTTCGTCGTTAAATTTTTAACCGTTGCTGTTACTACGTGACCGCTTGAGATTTTTCCACAGATTCGTCATCATTTTAATTATTACGTCATAATCCTCCGGTAAATTTTATTTTAAATTTAATTGATGATAATGATGATGATGATGAGCCTATTGACGCGAGATTCACTTCGAAAAATTATTATTATTATTATTTTAAACATGGCAGATTTTCGAGAATTTTCTTTTTTTTTTTTTTTTTGGTTTTTTCCCTTCCGCCTTTTTTTCGCCTTTTAATTATTATTATTATTATTGTTTATTTACGTTGTTTTTTTTCCCTTTCTTTCTTTCTATTCTCGTTTGTGTTTGTATTTTTTTGTAGTAATAATAATAATGATAATATATGTGTATAAATATTGTAAAAATATTTAAAAAGAAAAGTAAATAATTATTATGTGTACATTATTGAGATGATGATTTTTCTTTCTTTTTCTTTTTCGTTTCGTTGTAGTTTTTTAGTAGTAGTATTATTATTATTATTATTATCATTATTATTATTAATTATTATTATTAATATTCATATGTCTGTTTTTTTTGTTTTCTTTTTAATAATAATAATTGCGTAATGTTTTTCTTTTTTTTTCTTGTTGTTGTTGTTGTATTTTCGATTGATTTTATTTAAGAGTAAAACTCATTTTTCAAAACACAAGATTTTTTTTTTTTTTTGCGTGTCGTTTACGCGATACTCGCACACACCCCCCTTTCCATGACTCATTGAAATTTGGCAACGTCGCAAATGTCGCGCAAACGTTAAAAATCATTCTAATAAGTTAAAATCAAAATGGCAAACATAAACATCTTTAAAAAATTTATTTTTTCACTTATAAATTTAAAAAGAGAAAAAAATTAGTAATGATAATAATATTAACAATAATAATAATAGTTTTGTTTGGTTTTTTCACGTAATAATTATTACTGTAATAATAATAATAATAGTGAAAATTTGATGAAAATTTTCAACAACAACAAAAAAAAGGGGTGGCGGATAGAAAGAAAAAAAAAACAAACGAAAAAAGTACAAAACAGGGTATGTAAATTCCCGATAATGATGATGATGATGATGATGATGATAGAGAAGTAAAAGAGAGAGAGTGAGGGGGAGAGAGAGAGAGAGAGAGATGGAAAATTGTTAAATTCTGTTGATTTTTGTATAATAATTTTTTTTTATAATACGTGCGTATTTTAAGAAAAAAAAAATTAACAAAGATTTCATAATGTTTACCCCACAATTTGTATTTGTATTTACGAATGATGACGTCACAGTTGTACACGTGACGTTTTGTTTATTTTTTGTGTTTAAGTTCATTTGTTTGGTTTTTTTTTTTTTTTTTTTTTTTTTTTTTTTTTTCGATTTTCATCTATCTTTATATACGTACGTAAATTTTTCCTTAATAATAATAATAATAAAAATAGGAATCAATACGATTGTGTCAAACATAAAAAAATTAATAATAATAATAATAATGATAATTTTAACGCTTGTAGTTAATATTAATTACAGCACTCGCATTGCCTCCGTTATGTTTGTCGTGTCTTCTTGTTTTGCCTTTTTTACGAAAAAAAAAACGAACAAAAACGTTCGACGTTATAGTTTTGATCGCTATATAAATTTTATAGTCGTTACGATATTAATAATGATAATAATAATAATAATAATAATGTAAGATAAATTATTATTTATTGTAGTTTCTTAAAAAAAAAAAAAAAATTTTATTGTTAAAAAAAATTGAATATATTTTTTCCCCTTATTATTATTATTATTATTAATTTTTTTTTTACTTTGCTCAATATTCATTTTATTATTTTTTTGTATGCACCAAGTGCAGGTTTAAAATAATAATAATAATATTAATAATAATGTGTGTATAAAGAAAATGTAAAGAAAAAAAAATGTATGATGTTGATGATGATGCTTATTTTTGTACCTTTTTTTTAAAAAAAAAAAAATTGAAATTTCTGTTTGTTGAGCTATAAATTGTTCTGCTATATATTTTTTTTTTGAATAGTTAAATAAGTCACGTGTCCAAATGTAAAAAATAATAATAAAAAAATAATTGTATACTTTAATAAATAAAGTATTTTTTTAATTATTCAAATAAATAAATAAATAATAATTTTTTTTTGGTTTTAATTTAATAAAATTTGAAATAATTATCGGGGGAGGATGGAGAGGGGGTGGGGAGGTCTTTAATAATCAAGTGGTAAGTAGTAGAAAAAAAAGAAACTTTTAGAAATTGTTTAAAGAAAAAAAATCGTATCGTCTATGAAGGAATAAAATTTATTTATATATAAAATAAAAAAAATGAAGGAGAAGAAGGTGGTGTCAGGTTTTTGACGCCAGTAAGAAGACACCATAATAATGGGTCCGTGAGAAGGAATTATCACCATCGTCACCACCTCCTCCACCACCATCAACATCAACATACAATTCCTACTATTTTTAAATAGAAATTTTTTTTTTTTTTTCGTATTTCATCATATCACGGTAAAATCTTTTCTTTTTTTTTTTTTATCAATTTT